TGTAGATATATTTTTAATTTTAAATAGCTTTCAAAAAATTTTAAAAATAAGATTTAAAATTAAATTATTTGACAATAAATGATATATAAAATATATATATATATATATATTGTATATTTTTTTGTTGTTTTATAAAAAATTTACATTATAAAAGATAATATTTTTACACTTATATGCACAAATACCATATTATTTTCGAAGTACTCTTACTTTCTTCCATTCTTAAATTTGATTGGAGTGTATTTAAATTTAAACGTCAAACTTTGTATATAATTAAATTTGATATTTCCTATTATTCTACTTTTTCTGTTAATTTTACTTTCAAATAATTATTACATTTTAAATCTTTAATAAATTCTTTTAAGCTATATTTACTTCAAATTATTTAATTTTTCCTGTAAATTCTTTTTGAAAAATGAGGTATATCTTAATAATATAGAGGTAATTCTTAATGTAGGTGTTAACTGGTTCTGCAAATATATTGCACATAAAGTTAACAATCAATGCAAAATATATTAATTCATAAATTTATTAGGTCATTAGCAATTTATCTGAAATCATGATTTTAAATTTATATTTGCTTGGATGAAATGAAAACATGAAAAATGTAGAAACATTTATTGAAAATTTTTTTAACGATTAATAAAAAATTAACAAAACATTTAAATTTTTAAATAAAATCTGATAACAGATGGCATTATATGCAGGGCAAGTCCTTGTCACTTTTTAGTCATACTGTCTACATAAAATCTTTTAAATTAATTCTTCACCTGCTTCCCAATTACATTCCTACACAAAGAATTTCAATAATTCAATGTTCCACTGAAAAGTAGAAAATAAATTTTAAAAAATTTTTTGTTTTTACTCATAAAATGCACTAACAAAATAAAAAATTCCAGCTTTCACAGTACTCTTGGTATTACATGATCTAAAATAAGTGTGGTGCATTCACAGAAAGCCATACAAATTGATAGAGTGTAAGAATATTTCTAAACCTGAGCACCTCATGTTTTATTTTTGGTGATATAATACCAAGAATACTGTGAAAGCTAAAAAAAATTTATTTTTTACTGTTTAGTACAACCACCACAATATTACTGGTATACAAGACAAACAAAATATGTAATTACCAATAAACCAGCAAAAATTAGATGAAACTATTCGTTAAACAAATGTTTTCTTCTGTTTTCAATGGTCATCTTTAGGTTTTGAAGTAATGGAACATTTGTCCAAAGAAAGCATATTCCAAACATTTTTAAAAAGTTGCATGTTGAAGATATGCACATGATCAATATCGGATTTAATAAAATTAAATTTTAAATGGGCTTCCAGTTTTTTTAAAAAACACTAACTTTATATAAAAAATAAAAACGAAACCTGACCAAGCTCCATGGCATGTCAAAGAACATTCTCCACACAGCTGCTAATGAATCCATTTCTTTAAAATTAATTGCTGTCTCCCTACTAAATGCTTTAAATATTTCAAGTTGTTCCAAGATATTTCAGGTTGGCAGGGTTATCGCAACGTTGTAGTAATTGGGCCTTGTCAAATTCAACCTGTACATCACTATCGCCTGCAAAAGCAGCCAATGCAGTATTGGATAGTCCTTTCCGAATCATATATATACAGGTAAAGCTCGCCTTACGTCGTTAATTGGTTCCAGGAAAACAACGTAANTCAAAGAACATTCTCCACACAGCTGCTAATGAATCCATTTCTTTAAAATGAATTGCTATCTCCCTACTAAATGCTTTAAATATTTCAAGTTGTTCCAAGATATTTCAGGTTGGCAGGGTCATCACAATGTTGTAGTAATTGGGCCTTGTCAAATTCAACCTGTACATCGTTATCGCCTGCAAAAGCAGCCAATGCAGTATTGGATAGTCCTTTCTGAATCATATATATATATGCTTCTTGATTCTCATTTTTAGACCCTGTGCAGTAGCTCCAATATATTCACATAGATGGCCCACCCTATGATTGTTCAGAGAGATAGTATAGACTCTGGGAATAGAATTCCAGTCCAAACTGTCCTTATTGTTCCTAATACTAGAGAAAACAGTAATGATCTCCTGAATGCAATATGTCACTCTTAAAGCATGGTATTTCTTTGTAGATATTGGCCAGGACCTTATTATAAGTAACAGGCACAAAGGGCTTGTTCTTTGATTGTAATATTTCCATCATATGCTCCTGGCGTAACCTAACAGCATTGATAAAGTGCGCCAGGTTTCCATGCTGCCTAGCTATGCTTGAGATGTAATCCAGCTCTATTTTCCTATCTTCCACCATAGAACAATGGGTATAAGCCCTTCTCACCAGGGCTTTAAAAGCAGAGATCTTATAATTGAAAGGATCATGTGATTTAGCATGGATGAAGAGTGGAGCATACAACATCTCACGGAACACCTTTGTTCTCAACTGACCTTGTTGTAATGCAGTGTCTGGACAATGTACACTGGTGCAGTTTTTTTGTTCCACCTGCAAAGAGAGGCCGTAAGCATTATCATTGAAGCCTTGATGAATGCAAACAAGTTTTTTCCTCCAAATAATTAACACACCATCAACATATCTTGCATATAACAATGTTATCGCTAACACCAGGCAAGACTTGTTGTTCAAGGCACCTGACCACAATTCACAGAGTTCCTGAGATAGGACTACCCATGAATACCCATACCCAAAACGAAAGAAAATGTTTGTTTAACAAATAGTTTCATCAGATTTTTGCTGGTTTATTGGTAATCACATATTTTGTTCTACTGTTTAGAGCATTTATGGGAATAGAAAGCATCTCTTTAAAATTTTTTTGGTAGTGTTTTCTCTAAGAGCTAAAGAATTAAAACAGAAATATATGCAGAAATTACACTGAACATGAAAACAAATTAAACCATGTGAATAAGAACACTAGGAAAACCAGGTTCATTTTTCACTATTAAATAGTGAGTATGAGTAAAAAGTTATCAGTTTACATTTCCAGCTCTAAGTTTGTCAAGCTGACAGTATTAAATTTCACCCTGAACAGACTTGCATTAACTCAAACCCATACTTATCAAAACTACATTATCAGGGGATCAGGTGTGTGTGTGTGTGTGTGAGTTATACATACAAGGTAGCTTCAAAAAGTTCTCAGAATTATGCTGGGTTAGTCAATTAAAGATGATGAAAAAAAGGGAACATGTAATGCATGTCTTTGCTAAACATGTCAAGAATGGAGAAATATGTTCAAACAAATCCATACTCTTTACAAAGATGACAACTATTACCATTCACAAGATGTTGTGAAACGGAATCTGGTGAAAATATCTGTGAAAGAAAACGTGCAAATATCAAATTTTGTGTGTTCTAAAATCATATAATGCCTCACTATATGGTTGACTACTGGATGGGGTGCTGCACACTAATTTTTCCATCACCGCAAGCAAGGCAATCTTTCATTATTACACGTCATCGAGAAAGGATCTATAAGGAATCCATCGGAGAATGTTTATTCAAGCTAATTACGCACAGATTTCGGATTACACGGTCGACTACGGAAGCTGTCGACAATAGGTGCCCCTACCCAATATGCTTATCTACATTACTGTAAATTACTATTTAATCATCACCTGTAACAAATTGTACCAGCTTCATTATGCTCAAATGTCTTTCCACAGGCCCATAAAATTTTTTCGTAGACCAGCAGTCGAAAAACACCGACATAAATGACACATTCGATTATTTGTAACGTGCTCCATCCAAATAAAATTACTATACCAATAAAGTAAATAAAATACAAATGTGAAGAGAAAATATATAAAATTATGCAAATTATGCATACAAGGTTAGGTAGATACTATTCTTAGTTAATTCACGTATATAATATTCATAAATTACCTAAAAGTAACTTCTATTCAAGGAAATAAGACTGGAAATTAAATAGTTATTTATTTTTTCCAAATATTTTTAAAGAGAATAATAAAAATATTTAAGAATCAGTTTATGAAATGGGCAATTCCAGCTAAAGTTTAACTGATTTCCACATATGACACGTATGTAAATTTTTAAATTTATTTGAATTGAAAACATTTTCACGGCAATTCAAATTCGTGTTACGTAAACATTACGTCACACTTTAAGAAAATATTTACCGATAACGTAGACGACTGTCATCAATTAACCAGAAATAAAAGATTAACTTTGGATTTAAGATTATTTATTTTTTAACGTAATACGAATTTATAAAAATCAAAACTATTTTTCATATTGAATTTTATTTTTCAATTTAAATTTTATAAAAAATACTTACAATATAGAGAATATTAAGCGCTGTTAAAGCGTTTTTTGAACAAGTAAATCCTCCACACATTTTCTGAAAGTTAAAATCGTCAAAAAACGATACCACGGAATAAACTTCTCCACAAATCCTCCGATAAAGATGGATGACTGTGAGTAAGCGCCCTCTAGACAAAAAAAATTTTTTTTTTTTTTTTGTTTCAAATTAAAATTTTAATTTTGGTATATATTATTATTAAATTAATTTGTGTAAATGTCAAAAAATTAATTCTAAATAATAACATAATTATTAATTTGATAATAGTAAAACGAATATCAGATAGATTCGAGAATTACATTTATGAGAAACGCGACCCGAGAACTACAATACCGTATTTACTCGCATATAAGATGAGGTTTTTTATTCATTTTACACTGCTTCAAAAACCTAGATCGTCCTATACGCGCGAGCGAAAGATGTTTTGCGTTTTGGAATAATTTTTGTGAACCACGTATTTGCATTTTTTACCAGATGCTCACCCCTGATATTTATGAAAAAAGTATTTCATCTGGGTTGTTTCAATTGTTCATGTGTATTGTCGGGAGTAAAGATGAATACAATAGGAAAATCAAAGCTTTTGAATTAAAATTTAAACTGAAATTCCAAAATCACACGGGAGCCCGATATAAGTTTTAATCCAATCCCACGTGAAAACAGATGATTATTTGGAAATCAGAATTCGGAAAAACTCATAAGTGTAATTGACGAAGAGTGGATTCGACTGTATATTAAAATTGTTTATTTATACTTTAAAATTTAAGCACTTTTATTATTTAAAATACTGTATTTAAAAATTCCCACAGAGGGCGTAAGCAGTGACTCCCGGAAAAACAACTACACGGGGTGAAATAGCCAACGTAGCTAACGCCTATCTTCTCCACCAGAAGGCTGGACGCATGCAAGTTAATTGTTAATGTCGTGTTTTCATTTGAATGTCGTTAATTGCGTGTTTATTCTGAATATTTTGGTAACAGAATGTAAGCATACTTATTAAATTCTAACTCCACTTTATGATATGACTAATAATTTATATAGAAAACAAATATACATATATTTTTTAATCACAGCATGACAACATAGCTAGTTAGAAAGTCTGTCTGTGTGTCTAACCAAAATATAAAAAAATTGTATGTAATGAGTTACTGGTAAATTAAAATAATTGATGTTTTTATGAACTGTCATCTTTTTGTAAGAAATGAAATTAATTGAAACTATTGACTCTACAGTCACGAGCAAGTTCAGGAAAAAGTTTGGAATTTGAACTTCATGTATTGGGTGCTTAATAAAATGAGAATGTTTTGTCTTCTCATTGTCTTCATGTTTCTCCCTCCCCATTGCTATAGTCTGGCGTTGTGTTGAGAAACAGCCGAGACAGGAGTCAGCCTACTGTTCTGTTTTACAAAACTATTTTGAGTTACTTGAAGAAATGAATTGAAAAAGATTTTAGAACCTGAAATATTATAGCTGAGTAATCTTAAACAAAACACTCTCGTGGGAAGATATTCAGAAAACTTCTTCCATGATTCTGCTAACAAAACTTTGTCAACTTAGAGATGGGGTGAAATGGGTTGCATTCAGCAGACTCAACAGTTCCGGAGCTGTTGAGTATTTTTCTACTCAATAGTAGTGCTCTTTTGAAACATGTTTGGTGTTTTGATGTCACATTTGGTAGCACCTTTCATTTACTCTACCTGTCACTACCTAAACTGACCAATGAGGCTTTTTGTTTCAATGCAACATCACTCATCATTCAGCAGATCCAGGTTGCTATGTAACAGCTATTGGTTTGTTCAGTTACAACTGTTGAGTCTGCTGAACACAGCCATGGTCTCTCACTTCAATAAGAACCATGTTCCTTTCTTGAATGTACTTAAGTTAGCAGAAGTCTCTTTCTACTTTCCTATCACCAAAAGGATATTTATCTTTGTGAATAGTGTATAGATGATAAAACTCAGCTTGCTATGGAAATTCTGAAGATAACATTAATAATAAATAATAACTATTGAAAATGATTGGAAAATTTTTAGGTTTTCTTGTATCTTTATTAGGTATCTTAACTCTGATACTTGGCAGCAATGTTTCAAGATCATACTGTATTCAGATGTATTATTGTTTCAATTTGTCATTGAGATATTTTAAGATGCCAGATTTTCCAACCCAAACTTAAGATGCCGTATAAATATTGAGATAGTAAAGGAATTGTTGAATTTTTTAATGAAAAATAAATCTGTATAAAATCATCTTATTACCAAGATATACAGTAAAATCTGTTGCTTATAAAGCTAGTGTCATCTTTATGCTTTAAAATAAGGATGAAGAACAAGAAGTAGCATAAAATCTGTATTTTCAGAGCTGTGAATTTTTTAAAGATTTTTCTTCTGAAAAAAAAAAAAAAGTTTACTCAAGTCATTAATGTTGCCCCACACTCCTCAATAATACTGGTATAATTTAGTAATAAATAGTGATGCCATATTGTTTAAGTGTATTTATTATTATTATTATTATTTTCAGAATTTCCATAGCAAGTTGAGTTTTATCATTTATACCAGGGGTGGCCAACAGTTTTTCCCCCGGGCTGAATTGGAAAGAAAACTTTTTTCACGGGCCGAACCAGAGGCTGCCCTAGGAAGATTTTGAGGTGGTGTGAGATCTCATTGTGGTGTCACCCCATAGAGACTAAATTGTACATAGAGATTACAGATACATTTTTCACATTATCATGTATAATCAACATTCTACGCTGTACTTAAGCTAAATATTGAAAGATTAATCGCAGGCCGTACATTGGTCATGCCTGATCTATACACTATTTATGAGGATAAATATCCTTTTGGTGGTGGCAGGAAAGTAGAACGGGACCTCTGCTAATTTAAATATGTTCAAGAAAGGAACATGGTTCTTATTGAAGTGAGAGACCATTTTACCCCATCTATAAGTTGACAAAGTTTTGTTAGCAGTCCATTCACAAACTTTCTCTTTGGTTACAAACTATTTCACGTAAACATAATCTTCATACATTTTAATTTTTAGCCGACCAAACAGATTATACAGTTTAATCATGGAAGAAGTTTTCTGAATATCTTTCTGTGAGGGTGTTTTGTTTAAGATTACTCAGCTGTAATATTTCAAGTCCTGAAAGCTTTCCAGTTCATTTCTTTAAGTAACTGAAAACAGTTTTGTAAAACAAGAGTGCGATTTCATGAAACTTCTACCTTTTCTTGAGATAGTTCTTTTATTTCCAGTTTTTATTTTATTTATTTATTTACAAGTAGATTCACAGTAACATTTCCAAGAATTGTTTTAGCAACTAATGAAAGGAAACTGTCTTCAAGTTTGCTAACTTGAAATTATAGTAGAAATAATAAATGCAATTAATATGTTATATCTGTTTTCTGTTTTAATTAATATAAATCAGTGATATTAATTCCATTTAAAATTTAAAAAATTATGCTGAAATCAGAAATTAAAATATATTTTGTATTTAATACAATTAATATTAACATAATAACTTAAATAATTGCAGTAGAACAAAATAATTTTTATTTATAATGTGATTAGAATAGTTGATTTTTTTTAATATAAAATTTTAACAATTGTTTTTTCTATTATTCATTTTTTTTTACAGAATGTTTTCATTAAGTACACAATACAAGTTTTGGCTATTTTCTAATGAAGAACGTCTCTGTACTTTAAGACATAAAGCTAATTCTAACTTCATACAACAACATGGAAAAGGTATTAAGGTATGACATTTTGATACTTTTCCGTTAACAGGATGCTAGTCAATATGTACAGCAATGTGTAAGATTCAAGCTCTGAATAAGTGGTTCTTCATTGCCAGAATCGTTGACCCCCTGTATGAGCAAAAAAGCCAAAGAAACCATATCTGTACATGCAACCCTTTATAAGATATTCATCTCCGAAAGTCTGTTTTTAATATGTATCGGGATACTTCTTATTCTCCATGCTTTGCATCATCAAATTGCTCAATTTGACTGACACTCCTCGTGTAGTAGTGTGCTTTGGTGCTCACTATCACTTGCACCTCAGTACAGTTTTTGGGGGGTAGGACAAGCCCACACCCCCAAAAACTATATAACAGCTCTGAGTACTCCAGGAACAATTAAGTGAGTTACTCAAAGCCACATGGACTAAATAGTTATAGACTTAGCAGAAAACGTAGACAACAGTATCGCACATCAGATTAAAGTTACAATTGACTGTTAACAGAAAACTAATGACATTTTTACTCAAAAGAATTCATAAAAATATTTTAAAATATATTTCTATTCCATTTTATAGTTTGAATATAAGAGAATTCTAAGTGTTTTATATTAAAATGTATTTAAAACATGTTTTGTTTTTTTAATGAATTGTTGATATTGTTTAATGTTTTTGAAAAATTTTGTTTCTTAAATTATAGAGAATATCTAAGAAACTATCTTCTTTCATACTTTTGTTTTTAAATGAAAAGACTATAATGTATAATAATGTGTAATGTGAAAATAATTCAATTTGAATACAGTGGGTTTCCAGTTTAACAAACTAATTGGTGAAAGGGATGTTAGTCCATTAAATCAAATTAATGCAAATACAAAAAGGTTATAAATTTTTCCTTTAGTGAGAGAATTTTTTTGTTCATTAAATCTGAAGTCTGTTAAATCGAGATCTTTATTTTCTTTAATTATATTGAATATTTTGCAATTTATACTACAGACCAAAGAGAGAATACTTCTTCAGGAAACATCACTATTACAGTTTACAAAGAATATTTGTCTTTTATTTAGAACAAATATTCAGAATAAATTATAGCAATAATAGTTTTGATCCAGTTTCAAAGAATTTTGTGTAATTTTTCAATATCAGCTGCACAAAAAGCAATGATAGGTTAAATATTATGTACCTCCGAAACCTTTAACCGATGTGAATAAATTTACCATTACTAACGTTTTCAGACCCCTCCTGGGTCCTTCTTCAGGTAAAAATCGTCAAACTAACCATTCGTTTCGAAAGAAATTTTTCAAAACATCGAACGATAGAACGGCATCACGTGTTCCATATTCCCGAACGTAAAAGTTTTCACATCATAGCGGAGGCAATTGAAAATATTTTTATTTTTAGGGACCACCGTTTTGACAGGGACTTAGTATACATAGGCTCAACGAAAAGAGCAGTTGGGATCAGGTGGAAGGAACACATCCGTGACATTCGACTTAATAAATGTTCCACATCCTTATCCACTTATGCGTCTGATCCAGAGATCGTAGCAAACTTCTCAAAGGCCAAGTTAATCACCACCACCCCATATGCAGACCATCTCAAGTGGTTAGAGCAGATAGAGATATACAGGGCATACAACAATTCATCACCCATTAATTCCAGGGATGAAATCTCTCTATCTTTGGTTTGGCAAGCTCTAATGCAACAAGAAGATTAAGGAAGTCATAAACTTAAGCAAGGAGGATGAAAGGGTAGACAGTATGCATATAATGTGTTTTTTGCTTAACATCAAAGATCTTACAACAGTAATTATATAAAAAATAAAAAGAAAAATATTTTCAATTGCCTCTGCTATGATGTGGAAGCTTTTACGTTCGGGAAAATTGAACATGTGATGCCGTTCTATCGTTCGATTTTTTGAAAAATTTCTTTCAAAATGAATGGTTAGTTTGACGATTTTTACCTGAAGAAGGACCCAGGAGGGGTCTGAAAACGTTAGTAATGGTAAATTTATTCACATCGGTTAAAGGTTTCGGAGGTACGTAATATTTAGTAAACTCTGGTGTGTAGTTGTACGTTATCAATGATAGGTTAACATTCAATAAGTAATAAATTTTGTATGTGAACTAAATAGTAGTAGGTTACTAGACTATTAAAGGGTTTAAAAGTATGTGAAAAAACATATCATATTCTCTATGAATAAAATGAGTAACAATGAGAAAAGTTTACTTACAAATATGTAACTTTTAATAGCTGTAGAACATATTAGCGATTATAGGATATATTCAAAATATAAACTGTTTTATTATGTATCATGTTTTGCCCGATGAAAGAAAAATGTAAAGTTAAATTGTCTGAAATGTCTGAAAGATATTTTTGGCAATGCAATTTTATTTGGGAATACACATTTGTATATAATAATCGCTTAAAGTGAAGAACTACACCATTATGTTGATGCTGTATTGCCGTCAAGTAATTTAGAAGGTAGATTGTAAAATATGTGGCAATTTTTGTTATTTCTGCTCCATTATCGGAATGAGAGATCTGTCAGAGTCGGATAAGATTGATAGATATCAAATATATTCCAGGCAAATGATACAGAAGTTGGCATATGTGGACTAAACTTTTTATGAATGTTGAATGCATATATCCTTTCTGTTAACTCTTTTACTCAATAGTTCTATTTTATATACACTTCTTTTATCACATCTAATAAAAGAAATGCATTACTTTGCATTATTTTTTTTATTTTTTGCCTTCTTTATCTTGAATTGGAATGAATAAATTTAAATTTTAATGTAAAAAAACAGAATGAAATAGTAGGGTGAAAAAAAATTTAGTTTTTTTTATTTTATGATTAATAATATATTCACTATTACTTATGGTAAAGTATCTTTTGTAGAAAAGCATGAATTTAATTATTTATTTATTACAATTAATACTTAAAAATTTAATATTTTTTAAAGTAGATTTTAAAAATGACATCAATTTTACGTTACAGAAATATAGTTTTTTTTTTTTTATTTTGTAGGATGAGACAAAATATAATTTTTTCTTATCTCCACATGAAGAAAGAATGCTATGTAAATATTACGAACACATTCTTCGAGATTTTTGTAGGAAGTTTCAGCCTGAAATGCCGAAATGTGTTTTGGTAAATTTTGACAATATACATTTTGCTTATTGAAGAATTTAATTTAAAATATGAAATATAAATGCAGTAGGCCCTTGATTTAGCAGACTTATTGTGGGAGAAGAGATGTCTACAATTGTTGAAGTCCTAGGTTGACACGTATCTGAAAAGTCCGTTAAATTGAGCATTTTAAAACATATATTAAAAATGGACTTACAATGTACCGGATGTATGAAAATGCTGTAATAGCATAAAAGTATTAATAAAATATTATTATAATATATAATGAATAATTTATTCTTGTCGATTCATTGACCCAAAGCTTTATGTGCTTTACCTGCAAATAAAATAATGAAAGTTCTAAATTTTTCTTTAGGGCAGAAATGTTTGTCTATTAAATCAAAGGTCTGCTGTACATCAGTTTAATTTTTCTGATTCATTTTCATATCATCATTCACAATTTTTCTATATTCTTATAGGGTACATCATTTCAATACTTCAAAAGATTTTATTTAAATAATTCTGTTATGGACTATCATCCAAAAAATGTTATGTAAGTACATTTTTTTCTTTTAGTAGTTAATATTCATTTTCTAATATTTTATATTATTTTAGGGTAACATGTGTATATTTGGCTTGCAAAGTAGAAGAATTTAATGTATCTATAACACAGTTTGTAGCAAATATTAAAGGCGACAGAGAAAAAGCAATGGATGTCATATTGAATAATGAATTATTATTAATGCAACAATTAAATTATCATCTGACAATTCATAATCCGTATCATCCAATAGAAGGGTTTTTAATAGATTTAAAGGTAAAATGTATATCAATTTTATTTTAAAATATTTAATGTAACTGTAATTCTTTAATAATTTAGAGAATTAACTATATTATATTTTGGTAATTTTGAAATAAGAAGATTATTTGGAAAAGACTAAAAAAAAAAGTCAAAATCTGTCAGTGAATTAATCTGTGGTATAATAGTAATGATGTAGAGAGAACATAAATTAAGAGAACCCTTCAAAAGAAGGAATAATAAAGCTTAAACAGTCTAAAAAAAAGGACATCAAATTGTTTAATGATACATCATTTTTAATTATAAGGAAGTAAAATTGGAATAACATAGAATAATTTATCAGAGAGCGAGAAATTTTATGAATAACAAAAGAAAGTGCTTTTGTCAGTTGAATGAAAGATGAACTTTTCAAGGTCCGTTTTAGGTGAATGATTAGTCAGTCTCATTGACAACTGAGACATAATGCGATACTTGTGTTAATAGGCTACAAACTCATTTTTTCTTTGCTATAAAATAAATTTTGATAACTAAAATAATTATATACATTCAAAATGATAGCCCAGGATTGACTCTATGATATTTTTTGTTTACGTACAGCAGTCCACAAATTTTGTGAAAAAAATCGTGAATAAATGAAGTAAATCAAAATGATGTCTATCTTTAGTACTTCATTTATGTAACATTTTCTAAACATTGATTGAATGAATGAAACAGGTTTTCAGCATCCTATTGAAGAGCTGACAATTATAATCTATCAGGTTGTAATTGTATACCTGCCCAACAAAAGATGAACTTTTATAATTAAATATTTAAGTGATTAAAGATCTCTACAATAAAGATCTCATATATAAGATACTCTATAACTCTAAGGTGAGGGAAATCTTACAAGCCTTCAGATTCATGATTTAAAAATTTAAAAAACAAACATTACTAACAAAAGTCAAGTTAAATGAAAATTTTTGGAAAAATTCTTAGAGGATTTAAAAATTGTACTGATGGATATAGATTATCTTTGAATCATTACTTTCCTGGCTGTTATATATAACAGGGAAAGTATGGTGATCAATCGGTCTATAAATGACCATCAAGATTTGTACATTTTTAGAGTTTGGATCTTAAAACATCAAGAAATGCAAAAAATTCAGGGGTTTTTTCAATATGTATTGGTGTGTATGTGTGTGAGGGGGCATGATTTTGTTCACCCTTGTAGAACAAAATCATGCCCCCTCAACAAAGCTTAATAACTCTTGTTCTTTTTGTCAAAAGTTTCTAAAATTTTGCAAGGAAATTTGTTTATAGGGACATCGATGCTATTAAATTTTGGTGGTTAAAGGCCAAGGGGAAGGGGAAAGGGTCGTGTATTGTATCTTGAGTGGGGTCGGACTTAATGAAGAAGAATTTACTCGTTATTAGCATTTTCATTTTTTATAAAACATAACATGAAGATTTTACTCATTTGCCATTTTATAATAATTATGTAAAAACTTTTTTTAATAAAATAACAGATTGCACCACACACAATTTTAAATGTTGCCAAAAAAAGTTATACAAATCATTGCTGGATTTTTCAAATAGATTTTATTCTTTCAAAAAGTATGTATATGATGCTAGAAGCTTAAAATTTTAAAAGTGTATAAATTCATAAACCTGTATTTATTAAAATTTGATTTTTATTAAGGCAGAAAAATAAATTGTTTAAAAGTTTTTAAGTTGCTTTTTAAAATACAAATTGATTTCTTTGGCAGCTTAATAATAAAATTTTAATCTTTTATGTAATTATTAATTAAGTGACTAAAAATGGGATGGAAAGTTTAATTCTTTCACATTTTGTGAAACAAAGATTTACATGTACTGTACTGTACAATAATCACATTTATGTATGTATCATTGTAATTTTATCAGTTTTATTAAGAATATCAAACTAGTTGAATTTTATTATACACTAATTTTTTCATGAATTTTTATTGGATCTACAGTCAAATTCCATTAACTTGATATCATCAGGATCAATGCAGTCCTGGTTTATTGAATATGCTACCTTATTGGATTGTAGAAGTATTCTGATTTTTTACAATTCCCTGGACATAATTTTATGTATTTTCATGTGTAAAAGTAAAAATCTGCCTTTTATGATTATTTGACATGCACATTTTAATTTTTACAGGTTATTTCTACCCTTCATTAGCTTGAAACAATACCACACTATTCTTTGTGCTTTATACACTTTTATTGTGTTTACATACAGATATACTTTAATTATCAAAGTACATAAACAGTATGATACTGTAGCTGTTTGTGATAATTATTGATTCTATGTGTGCTAAATATTTTTTTTTTTCATATCAAACCCATGCACTAATGTCTTTTGAAAAGTCATTAGAAAAATCATGCACAAACTAATTGGTTTTAACTTATTCATTATCATGTTGTCTTGGTCTTCCTATGTTTCCATGATGTCTATATTGTAAGTTGATGATGACAGTGGTAAAGATGTCATATGTTGTACTGATAACCCTTCAACAAGAAGCTAGATATGACGGCTTATCAAGTTTGCCAGCATACAAGATGCCAAGTTAATGGAATTTTACTGTATTTAGGAATTTAAACTGTTTTGTTGCATTTTTTTACATTATGATGATTTATTAATTATTAAATATTGAAAAATTGTTTACTTTATCCTCAGACACGATATCATTCATTAAGTGATCCAGAGCGTCTTCGTCCGTTTATTGATGAATTTCTAGATAGGTCTGTTTTTTGCACAAACTAATTGGTTTTAACTTGTTCATTATCATGTTGTCTTGGTCTTCCTATGTTTCCATGATGTCTATATTGTAAGTTGATGATGACAGTGGTAAAGATGTCATATGTTGTACTGATAACCCTTCAACAAGAAGCTAGATATGACGGCTTATCAAGTTTGCCAGCATACAAGATGCCAAGTTAATGGAATTTTACTGTATTTAGGAATTTAAACTGTTTTGTTGCATTTTTTTACATTATGATGATTTATTAATTATTAAATATTGAAAAATTGTTTACTTTATCCTCAGACACGATATCATTCATTAAGTGATCCAGAGCGTCTTCGTCCGTTTATTGATGAATTTCTAGATAGGTCTGTTTTTTCCGATGTTTATCTCCTTCATCCACCATCTCAGGTAATTATTTAAAAGATTTTAAGAAAATTATATTTTAAACTGATGGTTCTTTGTCCTACCTAGGCCCTTGTGCCACAAAAAAACCCTAAATCTAACCTTAAATTGATAGTAATATGATAAAATAATAGCATTAAAAATTAACACATATAGTTTAATTTGTCTTAATAAATTCCATTAATCATCCATATAATGAAACAGATATTTTATAGCAGTTTTATGTTTGCTTTTACAGGAGACTGTTTAAAATTGTATTATAACAGTATTAAAAGTATAATATATAAATATAGATTGTAAGGTTTAAAAATTTAGTTTTATTTTGAGGCTTAAATCCTATTTAAATAGCCAGATGGCTATGAAGTAAGGCATTAAGACTAGTACAAATGTGTTTCTCCTCTTTTGTTTTATACTTGTTTCAACATATGAATGCTTTCAAGAACAGAGAGAAGCATATGCATTTGAGATGCTCTTGGTTTAAAATATGGTGACTTGGATGTACTTTAAAGTGGTCATCAAAGTTGTATATTATTCATAAAATGCTTTAAGAAATGCAAGAAGCAAAAAAAGAAAAAAAATATATATTTATTGCACAATACTTCACATTAATATCTATACTAATATAATAAAGAGGTAATGTTTGTATGTTAGTTTGTATGCAGCAGGTAATCTCCAAAACTACTCATCCGATTTCAAAAATTCTTTCACCAATATTTAGAATGGAACCTCAGGGTGGACATAGGCTGTCGAATACATGTCGAAATTACCCCATTGGGGGGAGNACTGGGGTTGTTCAGAAAATCAATTTTTCAGATAACTGATTTTGTATGAAAAAATATATTAACCTATCCCATGTTAAAATTCATTCAAATTCTAGCACGTCCTTAAGTACCCACTCATGGATGCACCAGTGCTTCCAGCTAAAACACGCACACCAACAAAAATAATATTGGAGTAGCCCAAGACATAGCCAAAGATTACAGTGCCACAGCACTAGCAGAAATTTAAATTTGCCAACTGGAAAGCTTTCAGTTAATTGACATTTCAGTTTATTGTTGTTCGGAGATAATCGATGCTCTACTATATATACTATATATATATAATAATAATAATAATAATATTATTATTATTATTATTATATATATATAGTATATATAGTAGAGCATCGATTATCTCCGAACAACAATAAACTGAAATGTCAATTAACTGAAAGCTTTCCAGTTGGCAAATTTAAATTTCTGCTAGTGCTGTGGCACTGTAATCTTTGGCTATGTCTTGGGCTACTCCAATATTATTTTTGTTGGTGTGCGTGTTTTAGCTGGAAGCACTGGTGCATCCATGAGTGGGTACTTAAGGACGTGCTAGAATTTGAATGAATTTTAACATGGGATAGGTTAATATATTTTTTCATACAAAATCAGTTATCTGAAAAATTGATTTTCTGAACAACCCCAGTAGGTTTGTGAAGCTATTTTGATATTAAACATAATATTTATTCAAATTTAAAAATTTTAATTATCTAAAATATATGAATAATAGAAGTGTTTATTGACATGCCTATAAATCAAATTACTTGATTAATAACACAAATAAAATTGTGGCTATGGACAGAAATGATGATTTACAAGAGAACAAACTGTTTTCTTTAGAACAGTGTGTTCTTGTTTAGAAGAGAGCAATCATATCATAAGTAATATGTGAAGTATTGTGCAATAAACCAATAGTGTGTTCTCTTTTTTTTCATTCTCACAAAGTATGAACCAGCCTGTAGCATTTTACTTGGAGTTTTAATCTGGTCCTTATATTCAAATTGATCATAATAGATTGTATGAGTTAATGCATTGTTAATGTTCCCTATTCCTTACCTAAGTTGGTTGTGACCCTATTGTAAATCAGGCTCACTTGTAATAAATATAACTATTGCTGACTGTATTCCTATATATTTTTAGTTAATAAAACTTTTATATATTTTCTATAAAAATAAACTTTTTTCTTTAAAAATTGCAAAATTCTAAATTATATTTTTAAAACATTGATATGTTTAATGTGAGTAGTAGTGGTTTGATGCATACTGATCACAAAATTAATTTTTCAAGTAAATTAAACACTGTTGAGTAAATTAAATTAAGATTAAAAATAATTTGTCAAGTAACGTGACAAATTGAAATAAGAAACCAAAGTTTTATCATCAATACTGGAATTCATTTTTTGAAATTATGTTTAAGGGTTTTTAAGTTAATTATTTTCTCGAAGTGAGTGACTACGACAATTTGAAATAATATAACACTGAAAATATTTTGAAAGTTTTTTATTTTTACATTACATTAATACAATTTTACATTAATTTTTAGTTTATATATTTGTTTGCATTAAAACAAGATTATCCCAGAAACTCTTTCAGTATAATTTTTCTATTAAATATGTCCTTGTAGAGAAGGTTTATCAGATTTTAAATCTTATTTGCTTATTTTATTACAAATCTTTACAATGATGTCATTGAAGATAGTTTATTTTTCAGGTTGGCCTAGCTGCTATATTGTATTCTACAACAAAATTTAAAGAAAATATAGATGGGTAAGAAATTAATTTTCAATCAAAATTCAAATTATTAAGTTTAGATTATATCTCACATTTCTGAATCAGAATTTAAGCCAGAATAACATTTTATTAAGTCAGATGTTCACACATCCCCAGGGGTTACAAAATATTGTTTTCTAGGAGAGTGAGACTTGTGTAAAAAATACATAGGCTGTTTTTTTTTTTTTTCAAGCTCTGATGATCCATAAGGAAAATAACAAGTGTAAATAACAAAATGAATTATTTATAAAAAGTTAGGTACAAACATTAGGTACAAACATGACAATTTTCAAGGAGATTATGTTGAAAAGTAACCATATTTGTACCTAACTTTTGGTAATAAATTCATTTTGTTATTTACACTTGTCATTGTTTTAGGGACTATCGGAGCTTGAAAAAAAAGCCCTTGTATATTTCCATTACTGATTAAATGTAAAGTTATGAGATTTTTAATTAGATACTTCTTGAAAAATTTATTACCTTACTACATCTATAAAAGCTATTAAAATTTGGGAGTCATTAAGGTTCACTGTCTCTGTCTCAGAGACAGTGAACATTTATAATCGAGGCAACTCCTTTTAATGTAAAAACTAATACAAGAATAACATAGGACATGTATCTAAGAAATGGGTCCCACATGAGGGTAGGATGCAAACTGCCGAGATAAGAGAAAGGAAAAAAGTTAGGTTTCCCTGGCAGTCCAAATTGATTCTCACTTATAAGCACCAATAACAGCCACTATTAATTTATTATATATTTGTGATGTGCCAGTAGAATTTTAGTGGTTTGTGGAGGTTTTTCTTAATTGCTTGAGCTGTAACTAATGATAGGTTAAGATACAAGAAAATGAGACAATCCTACCTTCTTAAAAAAATAAATTTAACAAGTTTTTCATGGCATATATGTGACAGCATTTTAAAAATTCAATAGATGTAGACAGTGGAAAAAGTTAAGAATCATTATATTGAGTTATTTTGAATTATGTCTGAATTTATTATTCTTGGAAAAATGTCTGAATTTTATTAAAATCAAAGATATTTTTAATTATAAGTTTATGTGAAATATATTTCTTACATTGCTTTGAAAAAGTTTATTGTAATGTTATGTATTTAATAAAAAATTTGTGTAATTTTTTTTACTTTTTTTAAACTTTTTAATTAAAAATTCAATTAAAAAAGTTCTTGAATTTGAAAACTATTTAAAATAGTTTTAAATTAATTTTAAAAAATATATTAAAAACATTTACTAAAATAAAATATATTTTTTTTAATGTATTTTAAATTGAGCAGAAACATTTCATAAACTTTTTATTAAATTTTTAGGAAATTTTTTCGGTTTATAACTGCTGTTTAGGTTATATATAAACTTTAAATTTAACTGTTGTTTAAATTTTAAACATTTACAGAAAAACATTGGCTAAGATTTCAACATGAGAAGTAAACTTTATTTTCTTATATATTTAAATTATGGAAAGAAATAAATTAAATTTAATAAAAGTTTTATATTGACAATATTGCAAACTTTGTAAAAAGTTTTCGTTTAATATACTGCAAGCTTCAATATTTTTAGTTGTTGTATCACAGTATAATTTTATTTAATTTTTGAACTTGTGCATGACTTAAATATTAAACAATTTATTACAGTAAATGAATTAGAAGGTCAATTTAAAATTCAAAATATTTTAAGAAACATTATCTGAATAGAGATAAAATTCTGAGGTCATTTCTTTTGACATTTTTTTATTATTATTATAATAAAATATTTACTACTAGTGTGAAGACAAAATTAAAAATTTATTATAATAGAATTAACTTTTGTTTGTACATTTTGCAATAATAAATTATAAGGGTTTAGTAATGCAAAAGTTTGAAATAATTTACTGTAAAGAGAGCAAAAATAGTGCACAATTTAATGTCTTAACAAGTAGTGACTGTTGTTTGTTGTCGCACTAAACTATTTATAGATCACAGTATATATAAGTTATCATTAAATATATATTTTTTTAAATACAATAAAAAAATTCTGAGATTATCCATTATCAAAGTGAAGAAAATACTTGGTCTTCCAAAAGGAATGATACCATTGTAAGATAGTTTAATTATTATAAATATTATCTGTCTTGTGAGAAAGTATGCAATGTACATTGATCAATAGAATCTGAGTTTTTGTTTGTTGTCATCATTCAAATGTTTTTGTTGTCTAGTGCCATAAATGAAAATGATGACTCTACAACAGTGAAGAGTTTTGTGTTCTGCATTTCGCAAAGTTGTTATATACTCATCATTGTGCAATATGAGTAATCTTTAGGAGCTGTAGAATTATGATAGCTGTGGGAGGAATGACAACAGATATGCCATAAGTGTAGGAAGAATTTGAGTATCAGTTGGATGTGTACCACAAGATATACACATTGAGAAATTGTGGAGAAATGTGAAACTTGGACAGTTTTTCAATGTTTTAATGAGTATTACAACATTCTCAGATAATAATTATCATAATTACAAGAGTTTAAAATGATATCATTCTTTTTGGAAGACCCTGGGTATAAGAAATATTTTAATTTATATTTATAAACAGATTTTTAAAAAATTGGAGAGGGGAATTGAAAAATTTTAAAGTTAAAGTTTAAATTTCTTTTATGTTCTGATAATAAAAAAACTTTTTATATGTTTAAATATTATTTTAAAACATTAAATATATTCATATTCAATAGAATAATGGGATTGTATTATTTTTATAGTTATATTAACGATGTGTTGATGATGAAATTACCGAAGGAAAAGATAATAAATTTAAAAAATTCTTTAAGGAGTAAGTCATATTTATTCACTGTAATTAAGAGAATATTTACTTATTTAAAATTATGAATAAAATTTATTTAACTTAAATAAGGTATTTGCTCCATGGTAAAACCTTCTGAATGTCCACCAAAGGATCAGATAAAAATAATTGAGAAAAAACTTGAAAAATGTCGTAACCAAGAGAATAATCCTGATAGCATAATGTAAGTATTTACATATGTGGATAAACAAATTCAAATTGTACTTAAATAAAAAAATTTAAAATCAATAAATCAGTTAACTTATTAAATCAACACAAATTCCTGTAATTTTCTAGCAAACAGATGCTAATTAATGATGTCTAAATGAAAAATTTTAGCAGCTTTGCAAGAAAAATTAGTAAATTTTTTACTACATATAATTACAGTTTTTGTCTGTAATTTACTTAAGTTTTGTTTGATAACATTTTAAGAATCCATTTAAAAGCTGAATTTTCAATATATAGATTACAAATCTCATAAGTTTGTAATTAAAACCACATTTTTATCATTTTAATTAATAACAACAACCAGTTTTTCTTTTGTCATTTAGGAAGTTTGTTTTTGATTATCTAATTAGCCTATAAAGCGAGATTATTTTATAATTTGGTAATATAGTCCTTGCAATTCTAAAGAATTGTAATTTTATAACATTATCCTTTTTATAGAATAAATGTTTGTTGTAGTCAAGTCTGCTAGAATTGTCTGTTACATATTTATTAGTGACTGCACCATTTCCCTTCATACCTATACATTAAAATTCACTATGTCATTTGAAGTATAAATAGAGTCATCAATATTTGTGTGCATTGAATTGCCTTTTTTAAGTTTGAACAATGAGGTGCATCACATTTTAGTTTTTATATTATTTATGTAAAATGTTTTGTGATGAAATGAATTGAAAATAGGCTGATTTACAATGACAAACATTAGGAAATAATAATTCATTCTTATAAAAAATTATATATAATATACAAAATCAATTGGAACTTAAATTTTAAAAAGTTTATCTGTTAATCACAACTGAAAATTATTTAATGTATAGATATAAAAAAAGACTTCAAGAAATGTTGGATGAAGAAGAATTGATGCCAAATCAAAAATATGCAAGAATCTCAGAGGTGATTTCTTAATTGTTTTTTTATTTATAAGTTTATTTATTTATTTCATAATAATTATATTTTAGAAAGAAAAATCATGATTGTTTTGAAGTTTTCTGTAATATCTTTATTCCCAAAAGGCAACGAGGTGTGCCAGAAACACCTGACAGTTTTTAAGATAAAATTACACTTTGGAAGAAAGTGTAAATATTTATTGCTTTGCACAGATTCGTTCTCCATAAAAAAAATGCATGTATAATACTGTCATTTCTTGAAAATAGCATTTCGTAAGTAGGCACTGCGTCCTGCAAATGAAAATTTAAAAACCGTCAGGTGTTTCGGATGCATCCTATATATAATATATGATGAAATAGAAAATTAATTTATGAAATCACAAATATTTGTATAAACTGGCATTGTATGTAACATCAGTAGATGCTAATTTTATTTTTAAACTGATGATGCAAAATTACTACTACAGTAGAGCATCGATTATCCGAAACAATTCAGGACGGGTTGTTTGGATAACTGATCATTTATAAAAAAATATATTAAACTGTAATATATTTTACAGAAATTAAACACAAAACTGTACTGTATATATTTTTACAATACAGTCTTACAATATATATCTTACATAAAGTAGTACATTAAAGTAGGCCTACACTTTTATTTATAGATCACAGTATATATAAGTTATCATTAAATATATATTTTTTTAAATACAATAAAAAAATTCTGAGATTATCCATTATCAAAGTGAAGAAAATACTTGGTCTTCCAAAAGGAATGATACCATTGTAAGATAGTTTAATTATTATAAATATTATCTGTCTTGTGAGAAAGTATGCAATGTACATTGATCAATAGAATCTGAGTTTTTGTTTGTTGTCATCATTCAAATGTTTTTGTTGTCTAGTGCCATAAATGAAAATGATGACTCTACAACAGTGAAGAGTTTTGTGTTCTGCATTTCGCAAAGTTGTTATATACTCATCATTGTGCAATATGAGTAATCTTTAGGAGCTGTAGAATTATGATAGCTGTGGGAGGAATGACAACAGATATGCCATAAGTGTAGGAAGAATTTGAGTATCAGTTGGATGTGTACCACAAGATATACACATTGAGAAATTGTGGAGAAATGTGAAACTTGGACAGTTTTTCAATGTTTTAATGAGTATTACAACATTCTCAGATAATAATTATCATAATTACAAGAGTTTAAAATGATATCATTCTTTTTGGAAGACCCTGGGTATAAGAAATATTTTAATTTATATTTATAAACAGATTTTTAAAAAATTGGAGAGGGGAATTGAAAAATTTTAAAGTTAAAGTTTAAATTTCTTTTATGTTCTGATAATAAAAAAACTTTTTATATGTTTAAATATTATTTTAAAACATTAAATATATTCATATTCAATAGAATAATGGGATTGTATTATTTTTATAGTTATATTAACGATGTGTTGATGATGAAATTACCGAAGGAAAAGATAATAAATTTAAAAAATTCTTTAAGGAGTAAGTCATATTTATTCACTGTAATTAAGAGAATATTTACTTATTTAAAATTATGAATAAAATTTATTTAACTTAAATAAGGTATTTGCTCCATGGTAAAACCTTCTGAATGTCCACCAAAGGATCAGATAAAAATAATTGAGAAAAAACTTGAAAAATGTCGTAACCAAGAGAATAATCCTGATAGCATAATGTAAGTATTNTTAAAAGATTATATATATATATATATATAGTTTTTGCATGTATAAATTAGTTTGTCGTATTTCTTATAGTAATATAACAATGTAAATTCCTTGAAAATATCACCAAACTGTTATATAAGCTGATGATGATACAAATTTAGATGAATGACATCTCTTGTTACCAAAAAATTTAGTATGAGCATTATGCGATATTTTCTATTGATTTTGAAATTTAAAATCTTAAGGATTCGTTTTTACTAGTGATATTTAACATTTGTAATAATAAACAGTTGTAATAGCATTTGTAAACAAGTTAAATTACATAACATATCCATAAATTATGTAAGGAAGTACTAATCTTGTCCATTTATGCTTCCTGCTTGTGCACTTATAATGTGTTCAGGCTGGAGCACTAGACTTTACTGATGTGCATTAACCACTCTGAAATGAAAGTCAATGCCGGTTGGTCAGAGCAAAGTGTTCTCTGGATACAGAGTCAACACACACGGTTCTAAAACTGTCAGCATAAATGGCTTAGTGCACAGATGATAAAAAAATTTATAAATCAATAAAAAAATTTAAAATTTGCTCAACACTTTTTCATGTAAACTTGTATTTTAAATGAGTTATCAGGACAAAAGATTCATTAACAAGTTAACCAATAAGTATATTGTTTTCAGCTGACATATTGTTAATTTACATTCATTATAAAAAAGGTAATATGCTGATGATGATGATGTAAATTAATTTAAAAACTTCTAATAGATTTCTTAAATTTCATTTTTTAAAACTAGAAGACAGAATTTGAAAAGTTAACCAAAAAATTTTTTATGATCATTTTTTGTTTAAGGTAATATCATAACACTTCATCCTCATTGTCTGTAAACACTGGAGATATGACATGTGACATCTCATCCCTTGACCTTTAACCACCAAAATTTAATAGCATAAATGCTTCTAATACACAAACCTCCCTGCAAATTTTCAGAAATTTTCCACAAAAGTAACAGGAATTATTAAAGTTTGGCCGGGAAACTTACACAACTCATTTGCTGGATTCTTTAAATTTTTCTAGACCAAATTTTAGACTGTATCGATGGGCATGCGGGTAATCGTTACGATGCGTTATAAGAGGGTGTGGATGTTTACAAAATCGTTATGTAATGCGTTCATTGTCTAATTCGCCAAAAACAAAAGCAGAAAAGTGTTGCATAGTCAACCGTGGTGTTTGTCTGCTTTAATAATGTAACGTTCAGTAGCTCATGCCTTAGTACAATTAAGAGAGTTGATCGAGGATATGTGTTATGTACTTTTAGGGGTGGGTGTATATGGAAGCATTACAGGGAACCAATATTTTTTCAGGGGAATCAGGGAGATTGAAAAAATACCCCTCATATAAAACACATTTTGTAAAAACAAGGATTTTTGTGTGTATGTATGTGTATATATTGAAGATCATATGCCGGAAATTGAATCGACACATGATAGACCGATCACAAGAGAGACCGATAACGCGTGATGACCGATTGGTCCTCTCACGTGGCGACCCAATTTCCGGTAACATGACCTTCACACCAGTGGCAAAGAGGGAAATTTCCTGAGGCCCAAACTTCTTTCATAAGAAAATATCTCCCCCGAAGAAAAATGTTTGAAGTCAACACTGTACACGAGGCTTCCTAATTTAAATTCACCTGGGTTCCATGACGCTATAACGTGCCACTGTCACACACACGTATATATATGTATATAAATTGACCGACCAATTGCATTTGTCAACCCTTTAGATAAGAAAAATACCCTCCCCGAGAATGTTTTCTGAAAGAAACACGAGTGGAATTGTATAGCGTTATTGTAGCTAACCCACCCCTCAAATTTAAAATTAAGACTGTAAAATACTGTAATTCTAGGTTTTATTAAATATATGATAATCCTCCTCAAAAAATTTTAGAAATGGATAACCTGACATAACAAAATTATTACTTTTTTTGTTTAAAAAATAAATTTAACGTTGCAATTTTAGTTGGGCTAAAGTTATATTGTTACAAACCAGCAAACACTATTTAAATTTCAATTATAATGCTAATATTGGTAAATTGAGATGATAACTAATCTAATTTCCAAGATAAATGATTGGCTATTTACATATATAGAATGACCTCATTTAAGATTAAGTTAACAAGAATATCATAAAATTACAGATAAAGTCGATAATTTTAATGGCTTAAGTAAAAATAAATATTCAATTAACTTAAGTATTTAGTTCAACGTAAGTTCTAAATATTTAAACAAAATGATTTATTGTGACGTCGTCACAATGCCGGGCTGCAATTTTTAATCATATTTTCAATTTAATTTAAAGTATATGCTCTCGATCTCAAAATAGTAATACCTTGCGCCTGTAAATCACACTTTTCCTGTCACGACTCTATTGCTAACTCCTTTCAGGGGAATTTTTGAATTGAAATAACGCGACGTTTGGTGTAAACTGGAAGTTCGTATACAGTTAATCTTGGCCTCTTGCCCCTAAGCTTTCCATATCTGGTCCCGATTTACATACAATATATTACACGCCATCTTTCAGCCATAAAATTTTTTCCTAATTTCAGTATCTTCATTGCAGTTTCCGGGCAACACCAATAGTAGGGGTGAAAGGCAAATATATTCTATACTATATGCAGTGGCCCATCAATCGCCAAGCGGTCTTCGTACCCTGAACACTGGGAGTTCGGTCGTGGGTTCACGCCTCGCTCGGATGGGCTGGCCACGTGGAGTTTTTCGGGTTTTCTCCACTTCTGTAACGCCTGAATAGGGGCCAGTTACCCTTAAAAAGACCTCCCGGAAGGCATCCCAATAGGCAGATCACCCAAGTGTTGCGTTGCCATAACAAGCAAACAAATGATTGAGGGAGTTTTTACTTACTTTACTATCAATTGAAAGTCAAATAGAGGTATGATCAAATTTATAATGGTCCCACATAACTGATGATACTATCTTCTTTAAAAAAAATTCTACCCCGTGGGCACTAAAATGGCATTTTAAATAGCACTAAAAAGCGAATATGTCGGCCTCGTTCCATTGTAGGCTTGGCTGAATCCATAATGCGCCTGCTGAAAAGGCCATTTTTCGAACCATCCGGATTCGATTCCGAGTCCCCAGAGCTACCACTAACTTCACGGTTATCCAGTTTGGTTTATTTTGATTACGGCAATATGGCACGTGGGTGATCTGTCGAGGGAAATACCTCCCGACAGGACTTAGGGAAAGTGGTCTTGTTTGGTGGGGAATAAAACGTAATACAGACATATTAATAAAATTCAATAATAAATCATTACTTCTATCAAATCCAAACCGGTTTAGCCTCTGGTATTTAAAAACCGATTTGTTGAAAACTGGTTAAAAAGAGGTCCTCTTATTGCCTACAGAGTGGAAAGAGTTAAAAAAAAAAAGACTTATAAAGGAGCGACAATATGTATTTTAACGTCACTTCTTACTTAATTTCAAACGAAATAATGTTATACTAAATTATTTGAATAAGTATCGATTAAAATGATTGATTTTTATTCAAACTTTGTATTGTTTTCTCTTAAACACGAACGTAAATTAAACAAAAGCATGCTCTTAAACCCGTTGTCGTGTTTTCTTGTTATAAAGGCACTTTTGATAGACCAAACAATGTTTTGCATGATACTATAGACTCCAATACTTTTCTATAATAATGTAATAGCGTGGGAGATGATGGATTCAGTTGAAGATACGATTAGTCCGATTACGTGGATCAGCAAGTGGGTCCACGCCTCTCAAATTTCGAAACGAGGGACTTTTCAAGTGTGCTCTTCACATAATACAACAATGCTAAAATAATAAGATGCATTACAATAAACGAACTAACAGTTGTTAGTTTTACTGATAGGTTGCTAAATACAGTTAATTGTATTTAAGTGGTATTCTCAAAATGTCTAAATGATACATAAATTAGAATTTAATTAAACTTATATTATTATATATAATATAGTTTAAGTTTACACTACAGCACTCTATTATTATTACACATAATATGTTTATTCTATTATATAATATTCCGTTTACCTGTAACAAGAATAACATTGCTCACTTAATTAACTATTAAAATGAACTTTAATATATTACTCATTGTTAAATCTGAATTATTGTCGGAAATACAGATGTTTGATATCAGATGATTCATATGTAATAACCCTGTATATATAGAAAGTAATTTTTAAATTCAAAAATCAAAATGAAAAAAGATGGGAACTTTGTTGCTGGACTTTCCCGGTATTCTTTATTTGTTTTCATCCCGAATTTTAATTGCTACCATTCATTACTCTTGCTTCTTTCTTAATTCGTAAACCAAGTAATTTTGGTACAGATATTCTATTCCGAATTTTAATTGTATAGAACCGTAATAAACAAAGTAACTACGCTAGCATTTGACACATTTTTTATTCTCTAATATAAATGAATTTCAAATCAAACTTTTCAGTATTACATAATTACAGTAGAGCATCGATTATCCGACCCCCGATTAACCGCCGCCTCGGTTAACCGACCGCGTTCTAGTCGGCAAATTCAAATGTCTGCTAGTGATGTGGCGCTACAATATTTGGCTATGTCTTGGCTACTTTAACCTTCTGTTAGTCGCATGGGTCTGACAGACCCGACGCGATTTTTAGTCAAAATTTTTTACTATTAAATATTTTTTGAAAAATTTGAAAAAATTAATATTCCTCAAACTTTTTAATTAGATTAACATGCTGTTAAAATTTTTTGCATAGCAACGCTCATTTTTTAGAAAAAAAATGCTTTACGAGTCGCATGGGTATGACAGACCCATGCGACTCACGGAGGGGGTAAAAAAACGTCAATTAATTTGTCGCCGTTGCCGATAGCGAGTGTCGCAATAACTTTATCGCGCTGAAGTTGTCGCGCGGTGTCTATTATACTTTATAATATCGTTATTTATTTATATATTTATATTTTTGTTTTTTTT